TGTCAGAGTACTCTTTGATGGATTCAGTCTTCTTCATCTTCTGCAACTCGAAATCACGCATCAAGTTCAACACTTGCATACCTTGAATTCTTTCATCCCCTTCATACTCAGTCTTGAGAAACTCCCATATCTCCTTTGCTGTTTTCAGAGACATGATTCGAGTGAAAATGGTGGATGCTACTGCAGCAAACAAGCACGCCTTTGCCTTTGATTTTTTTGTCTTCTTCTCCTTCTGAGATTTGACCTGCGCCATGGTGGGATTGTTTGGAAGTGCAGGGATTTCATAATCTTCTTCCACTGCCTCCCACAAATCCAGAGCCTCTAAGTATGTCTCCATCCGTACTGCCCAAAACTGGTAATTGTCACCATTGAACACTGGTGGAGCAATTGATGAGAAGCTTACTTCTGTCTCCATGGGTTACAACACAGATCCCTTTAAATCAAGAAGCTCTGATACCAATTGTCGTTGTTGCAGTGATTCTGAACAACAAAAATAACAAAGGATAATGCTTGTGTTTAAGAAGAGATTGATGAATGAAAAGCTTGAATACTTTATTCATAACTGCAGCTCAATTTATAGAGCTGATACATAACAAACTCCTACGATCATGGTCCTACATTCAAGCCATGATCAATTGATAATGGAAATAACAGAGCAGCGAAATAACAACAAGAACAAGAGAATAAGAATAGAATTGACTAAATCAAAAATTAAATAAAGAATAAAATTCCAGCTCAGCAGTCCTGAACATTATTTCTAACATTTATATTGTGATTTGGTCTTATGATCTATGCCATAAATTTTAAAGGTTGAACTGAGTTTGTTTAAGTTATTTTTAATTATTTTAAAAAGTTTCATCTATCATCATTGAGATCATTGAAAATTTATTTTTTTTGTTAGCCTTTTATATTGTTATATAACCTTATGACCCGTGTCATAAATTTTGAAGGTTGGATTAGACTCGCTTAAGTTATTTTTAATTATTTTTAGAAATTTCATTATTTATTATTAAGTTCATTGAAAATTAATTTTTTGTCTTTTTATGTTTTGGATTTTTTTTGTGAATTTGATTTTTCTTTTTGGTTTTGCATTTTAATTCAATTTTTTTTTTTAAGGTTTGACATGATACTTCTCGTAGGTTTTGAGAACCTTACTTGGTTTTACTAGTATTTTGTTTTTTAATATTTTTTTTGATTTTTTTTTAATTTCATCATTTTATAATTTTATTCATAAAATTTGACTATTTTTATCTTTTTAATTTTTCTTCTATCATGTCCACTCGTTGATTTTTTCTTTAAAATAAAATGATAATACTTTTACATTGTTGGATTTTTTCTTTAAAATAAAATGATAATACATTGTTTTTCTCAATTGAAAAGAAATTGATCTACCCAGCGAACCACGAGCCATCATTCTAGTATGATCTACAAAGAGATGATCGAGGATTGTGGGCAATAATCCCATCTACACATGCTTCACTACAAGAGGACTCTTGACACGGTGCAAGCCATCTGACCATGTGAGATGCCCAAATTCATAGTCTTTAGGCATGCCGTCCATTATAGGCTTAAAAGTAAGCTTGAAAAGTTGCTCTTCACCAGCTTGCTTGAACTCCAAGCTAGAAGGTTCAACAACTACTGAAACCTTGGCTGGTGCCTTAATGCTAACCGTGTATGTTCCTGGAGCCCCTACGTTCTTCACTCGGCGGGTAACAGTTACTGGGCCTTTAAGATCAGGAACTGTGATTGAAGGGTAGTTGAAATCAGCGAAACTAAAATTCTCAGGGCATGTATAAGGTCCATCTGAGAATGCGTTCAGTAAGGTCTTGTTATAGCCATGGGCACACAAGAAGCTTAGGTAATCATTCACGTTTGTGTCATAAACTAGGCCAGGATCTGCTGCCAAGTTTGGCTGCACATGTCCAGCACCATACATAAATGGGGTTGCAAGTTGTCCATCATAATCAAGCATTCTCTTCTTGTTGTTAGATTTTGTTTTTGCTGCGGAGAAAAACCAAATCCGGTTCAATTCGCAAGGGTTGGAACAACATGCTACACACTTTTCTACTTTATATTGATAACAAGCATGTACCTGTTGTCATGATTGCAGATTTAAGAGCAGCTGGACTCCAATCTGGATGGATAGCTCTAAGAAGGCCAACAATGCCGGAAACATGAGGACATGACATCGAAGTGCCAGACATTACCATGTAAGGAGTCCGGCGCTTGTCAAATGGTCTTCTAGATGGCCCCATAGCTTCGGTGAAAGCAGCAATAACATCGACCCCAGGTGCGGTGATATCAGGCTGCAATTGGAATTGTTCATTAGGCATAAAACAGAAAAATAAATGTGATAGTTTATGGAGAAGCAGAGACTTACTAGTGAAGCTGAACTAACCTTAAGTACTGCTGGCTCAATTTTACTAGGTCCCCTTGATGAGAATTTGGCCATTGCTGGACTTGGCTTTACTCCAAAATTTGTAATTGCAGGGCTAATTGATGCTGTAGGATTTCTATCTCAGTTGGCATAAGGAGCACGTATAAGTCTATAATGACATTAAATCTGACAGAAATTGAGATAAAGGGAGTAGGTGGAATGGATGAAAGAGCTGTTACCTGGTTGCTTTGATGTAGTCCATGACAGATTCACCATCAGCATAAGTGATATGGGCAGAGGGGAGCTCATAAGCTTCCAAGTAAAGTTCGTCCCCAGATATAATATCATTAACTAATACCATCCCAACAGCGCCAGCACGCTCAGCCTCGTATCCCTTCGGTAGTCTCGGGCTTTGTCCTCGAAGGCACAGTATGATTTTCCCAGAAACCTTGTTGGGATCAAGAGTTCCATCTAAGCATAGTTGCCTGCACAATTAATTCCATGCCAATTATTACCATGGCCAACCTAGTGATTTGCACACTATATTGATGCTACACATTTCTGAATTCTGATATTTGTAGATTGGAGCGGTTGCTTACGCATCTCTAGGTGTTGCTTCGGCAAGCGCTGCTTCTGCACCGTTAATTAGTGGATATAATTTTCCATCCGGCAGGTTTTTACTTGCCAGAGTTTTTCCCTGAATTCACAAAATTGTCATTAAACCACTGAATACCTTGATGAGCATAAATAGCACATCCTAGAAAACTCATGGCGATTGCCTCATCATTTTGGTGAGAATTTTAGTTCCTCGAAAGAATACCTTGAAAAGTTTCTTGTCGCCAAGCGTAACAGTGGTAAAAATCTCACGATCCATTGTACTAGCACCAATTGTGAACAACCAGGGAGCCCCATTTGTTATGGATCCGTCACTTGGTCCATTATTGCCTCCTGCAGCAATCACTGGAATGCCTTTCTTAATGGCATGGAGGGAGCCAATGGAGATTCCATCTTCATAAAATTGTAAAGGCTCGTTAGAGCCCAGTGACACCGAGATCACATCAACTCCATCAGAAATGGCAGCATCATAGGCAGCCAAGATATCAGCATCAGTGCATCCACCATTAGCGGAAGGCCAGCATACCTTGTAAGTAGCTACACGAGCTTTTGGCGCTCCACCCTTAGCAGTTCCATTCCCAACACCATAAACATTTACTCCAGGAACATAGCTACCACCAGCAGTTGATAAGGTGTGGGTCCCGTGGCCTGAGGCATCGTCACGAGCCGTATTCCACTCTTCTGGTACAGGGCCATTGTTAGCAGCAAAACCTTTGTTAAAGTACCTTGCGCCAATAAGCTTTCTGGTATAGCAACAACAACAACAAAAAAAAACCTCATGGAAATGTGCACATCCACTTATGATACCTACTCTACCGTCCTTTTCGACATCTAAACATGTTCAGGTCTTAAATTTGTTGGGAAAAATTGATCAAGAAGAGAAAGGGAACGGACTTATTACAAGTTACTCCACCTCCATCATCACAAGTCCCCTTCCATTTTGATGGCACAGGACCCATCCCTTCATCGTCAAAGCTCTTAGATTCCGGCCATACACCTAAATCAATGGCATGCAACCAAAAAAAACGTAAAAGAGTATCACAGGTGACAAGAAACAACATGGACCTGGTTAGAAATTTTTCTCTTATAAATCCAAGGACATAGCCTTACCACTGTCAAGATTTCCAATAATTATATCTTCTCCAAAGTTTGCCTTCTTCTGAAGCGAGTAGAGAGAAGGTACTCCATTTTTCTCAAATCCAAGAAAATCCCATGAATGTGTTGTGTACATTCTGTTTTCTTTGTTCTCAAAAATCGATACCACACCTGGATTATCTACACTTCAGTAAAAAATGAAACAATTAACCTATTTGATCCTGAAATCCTCTTAAATTTGTAACGAAGTTGTATGAAACAGAGAAGAAGCAGAGCAAAACAGAGCATTTGAAGCTTGAGAAATCAATACAACATTGTCATTCTTACCATTAAGTGCTGCAACCTGAGCTTCGTCGAGAACTGCAGCAAAACCATTGATACATCTAGTGTAAGAGTAAAGCATATGATCCTCAACCTTCTGTTTGCTGCATGAGAAATATAACATTAATGTACAAATTTTGATTGTTTATACAAATTAGCCAGAGAATTATCAAACGCTTTTTGACAACGCAGAAACCTGTCTAAGTATGTCCCAAGCAGATCAAAGTGTGCTTTTGTCATTGCTTTAACATCTAATGTTGTCAACGATGACTCGGAAAATGATTTCTCTCCTGATGATAATGATGGGGAAAATGAAGATTCTCCCATGTAAACTATGTAAGACTGCATGAACAAAATGGCATTAATAATCCCATCACCAAGCTTAGATCAACAGCATTTACTTATAAAGCAACAAAAAAGGAGACAATCTTGCCTTTTTGGCAGCGCAATTCTGCGTCTGAAACATATAAAGGAGGAGAATAGAAAGAGCCAAAGGAGAGAACGTTGAGAGCCTCATTGTTTCTCTTAGTTGCAGAACGAACTTCCGGCATAGAATCGCAAAAAGCTCTGCTTTTCCCCTGTTCTAAAATTGACATATTGTTAAGCTTTCCCCTGTTTCTAAACTCTGTTTTCCTTCTTGCCTATTTTTAGAGGGTAGCCAAAATTCCCTTCTATCTTTTTGGTGTGAACAACCATGGAATCCAATTTCCTTTGCTGGAGAAGAGTGATTCTAGCGCCAAATTTAAAAGCCTTACTCATTTAATCTTTTTGTTCTTTTTTTTCTCATACCCTTATAAGAGAAATATATATCATATATTTTCAGAATGTAGAATAAAATGCATGTGTATGTTTTATGTGCTAATACCGTACTTTTTTCTTTTATGAACATCAGAATCAAGCACTACGAGACCTTATTTTTCCTCTTGATAATACACAAAAAAAAAGAAAAGAAAAAAGAAAAGGTGACGTTGAAGCTCAGTTAGGCTATAGTCCAACCAAGCTATTTCGGCTCAGTTGGACCATGACCCAACCGAGCTGATAATACACAAAAAAAAAGAAAAGAAAAAGGTGATGTCCAATCAAGCACCACTATCATTTTTCTCTTATTTCTTCCCTTGATTAGATTTAATCGAGCTCAATGAAGCTTAGTTATTGAGCTTGAGTCTCGGTCTTCACATGTATTTTAATAAGTATTTTACAGATATTTTGCAACACTTTTGAGAAAGAAAAGGAGAATTGATTTGAACAAAACCACGTAGAAAATACACATGTTTTCTCTATAGACAAAAAACATTTATTTTATCTTTTTAATTTTTTGCATGCTTGTTACTTGATCTATCAAACTAAAATATTAATTTAAACATCGTTTAAAAAAAACTTGGTTTGAGGGAACAATATATCCAAAACTTACTGGAAAAGTTGATTTTTGTGTGAAGTTTTTTCACTATATTTTCACTTAAGTCTAAGCCTAGCTATTTAATGCTGCATAATCTTTACTTTTGTTATCGAAATTCAACCTAGACTGATGGAGTTCTACTACTAGCATATTGAAATTATTGAAAAACATTAAAAAAATATAAATTTGATGTTTTTTGAAGAAAAATATTCTTTAAAAAAATATTAAACTACTTCACTCCCAAAGATGTTACTACCTTAGCTTATGAGTTCCTAATAAGACTAGAGGCATGGTTCCCCAATATGTGTGTGTATGTGACTTTCAGGAATTCTTGGTTGACAGTCTAGGACTGTACATAAGATTTTCTCAGTGTCCTGTCGTTATAACCCTTCAGCATTAGATAAATAGTTATTACAATTTCCTCAAATGTTTGCTTTGCTTACACTACTGAAACTCCTCGTGGTCCCTTAACTTTAACTGTGTATGTGCCTGGAGCACCCACATTCTTTACTCGGCGATCTAGTAACATTTACTGGGCCATTTAGATTAGGAACTGTGATCGAAGGCTAGTTGAAGTCAGCGAAAGTAGCATGCTTTGGACATGTGTTAGGTCCATCAGAGAATGCTTTCAATATGGTCTGGTTAAAGCCACGGGCACAGAAGAAGTTGAGGTAATCATTCACGGTCAAGTCATAAACTAGGCCAGGATCTGCTGCAAGATTTGGTTGGACATGTCCTGCACCGTATGCAAATGGTGTTGCAGGCTGACCATCGAAATCAAGCACTCTCTTCTTGTTGTTAGCTCTTGATTGTGCTGCACATCACAAACCAAATTTGTCCCAATTATCGTATATGTGTAACAACATGCTGCATACCTCTATCGTTTTATGTTTAAGCAAGTATGCTGGTTTATATGATGTTAGTTAATTGTTTTTGGGACTACATAGTGTAAGTATCGTAAAGTACTAAAAATTATTTTATACTTTTATTCTATTTTTAGTTTGTTCTATTCTTTAGGAAATGGTTATTTTATTAAAACATGTTGTTGTTCATGGTTTAATTCTCGATCTCTAAGTTATTTTTTAATTTCTATATAATGTAAGCTTACTGCATAATAAAATTGAATTTTCAATTTGCATTCCTTTACCTATTCTCCTATCTTTCGTCTATCTTTCTTCTTTTTGCATATCCATAAACTTCCACCTTTGTTATACTCCTTTCTTTCTTTAAAACTTACAAATTGGTATTAGAGTTGTTTTCTTAAAGGATCTGTGTGTAAGCTTGACGTATCATAAAAGCTGAAACAAGTTTCTTCTCAATTACTCTGTTAGTGTTTAATGAAGACAACTACCAGATTTGGACAGCACACATGGAGACATATTTGAAAGCTTTGGATCTTTGGGAAGTAACGGAAGAAGACTATGATGTTCATGTTCTTCCAAACAATCCCACCATGACCAGATCAAAACTCATAAGGAGATGAAGACGAAGAAGTTAAAGGCTAAAACATGCTTGTTTGCTGCGGTGTCATCAACAATCTTCACAAGAATAATGTCTTGTAAGATAGCCAAGTCTATATGGGATTGCCTTAAGGAAGAATATGCAGGAGACAAAAGGATACGAGGAATGCAAGTTTTAAATTTGATAAGGGATTTCAAGTTGTAAAAGATGAAACAATTAAAGAGTATTCAGATAGACTTCTTGGGATTGCAAATAAAATCAAGCTACTCAGGTATGAATTCAGTGATTCAAGGATTGTAGAAAAAATCCTTGTCATAGTACCTGAAAGGTATGAAGCGATAGTTATCACCTTGGAAAATACCAAGGATCTGTCAAAAATTTCTTTGGCAGAATTACTTAATTCCCTTCAGGCACAAGGGTAGGGATGACATATGAGGCAAGACATCAACACTGAAGAAGTCTTATTTGCAAAACATCATAGAGCTTTTAAAAACAAAAGGAAAGAGAAGAAAGGTCAAGAGGGGAATTCTTCTGCTTTTGTTTTGAATAACAATATAAGCAAAAAAGGAAGGTTCAAGGGTAAATCCCCTCCTTACCACCACTGTAAAAAGAAAGGAAAAAGAAGAAAGATCAAGAGGGGACATATGACGCAAGAAATCAACACTGAAAAAGCCTTATTTGCAAAACATCATAAAGCTTTTAAAAACAAAAGGAAAGAGAAGAAAGGTCAAGAGGGGACATATGAGGCAAGAAATCAACACTGAAAAAGCCTTATTTGCAAAACATCATAAAGCTTTTAAAAACAAAAGGAAAAAGAAGAAAGGTCAAGAGGGGAATTCTTCTGCTTTTGTTTTGAATAACAACAAAAGAAAAAAAGGAAGGTTCAAGGGTAAATACCCTCTTTACCACCACTGTAAAAAGAAAGGTAATCCTCTATTCAAATGTTAGAGGAGACTTAATACAAAATGTTCAAAATGCAATTAAATGGGACATGAAGCAGTAATTTGTAAGGGAAAAGCTCAACAACAGGAAGTTGACACCTAAGTTGCAGAACAAGAGGATGAAAATCAATTTTTTGTAGCATCCTGCTTTGCAAGTAGTAGTTCGACTAAAATTTGGTTAATTGATAGTGGCTATACCAACCACATGACCAATAACAAGAAACTTTTCAGAGATTTGAGGCCAAATGACATTACTAAAGTCAAAATTAGCAATGGTGATTACATATCTGTCAAAGAAAGAGGGATAAACACCATAACCAGCACTATAAGCATAAAAGCAATTTTTGATGTTTTCTATGTACTAGCAATTAATCAAAATTTGTTAAGCGTAGGCCAATTGATTGAAAGAGGCTGTAAAGTGATCTTTAAAGATAGTTTCTATTACATACTGGATGTCAAAAGTGAGGAAATTCTCAAAGTGAGAATGAAAGGAAAAAGTTTTTCTTTTAATCCTATCAAAGAAAAACTTGCTACATTCTCTATGAAAGCTTGCAACATTGAGATATGGCACAAACGACTAGCCTATTGTCACTTACGAAGGATGCAACTTATATAGGAAAGGGAACTCACAGTTGGCTTACCAACTGATTAATATTTAAAAGTGTATTTTTATCATGGTTTTATATCATCATTTTGCACTTGAAGTATTAATAACTCCTTAACTAAAACATGTTTATAATAACAAGTCTGATACCATAAGATACCTTTAATTTATGATAAATATCTATCTTAGATGCAGACTTATCACATTAATGAAAGGATTGACTAATTAGTTGAAGTATTGAAGTGGAAAGGAAAAAGAGAGGGTGAAGCTTAGAAAAGAGATACTGATTTAGTCTAAATTGAACACTGTTTGGTAATTGGATCATAATTAAAGTTGTAAAACTTGGATTTAGGTTTTTTTATATGGATGAAAAGCTAAGACATAGGCCTAAAACTTTCATGGGAAGGAAAGACTCAATTTTGCTATTTGGAAGTCCAAATCTTAGCGACAACAAAGAAGTCTGAATCTATCCTGCAACCCAGACACTGTTTAATGTTCATCCCATATCTTCAGTTTTAGAAGTCCAAATGACCTTAAGTTTTTTTCTGGAAAGTTAAGATAATTTTCTAGAACTTTCATGAGGAAGGTTGATCCAATTTTGACGTTATCAATGACGTTTTGGGCAGACAAGAGAAGATAAGGATTGTCACCAAGTCAAGAGTTGGCCACTCGCTCATCAATTAGTCATCAAATCAATAGTTCCCAATTTTGGCCTATAAAAGGAGGTATTTGCCATGCATTTAGGCATCTTGGTTTCCAGATCAAGATCATGCTCTTGCTTTCTCTCTTTGTATTTTTGTAATGCTTAAGTTTTGCTTTCATTAATATCTCGTTTATGTCTTTCAATTTCTTTGCTTTATTTAGTTAACTTTTATCTTATTTATGTTTTTATCTTTTATTATGTTTAGCTAAGTTTATTATGTCAAGGTGAAAAGGTTACACTAATAGTGTAAGAATAAGTATAGTGTAAACTTAACATGGACTTTAATGTTTAATACTAACATGTTTTGATTTGTTATCTTGTTCGTTATTAATACTTTGCTTGTTAAATGATTAATCTAGATTTATATGTGGTTTTCCATTGAGTAATAAAAAGAGTTTATACTATACTTGTTTGAAATACCATTAAGGGATCCTCTAACCTTGATA